TGCTGTTATTCCAAAGCGCTAATGCTCCCCAGTAGATCTTGGTGAAGTCATGAGAATGAGCCTTGCAGACTTCCAGCCACAGGGAACATAACTGAGCAAGGAACAGACTGACAACTACACTCTGAAATCCATCACGATGGGCCCATTAATGGTAGAAAGGCCTCATGTGATTGTCAACCTTGTCCCCTGAAATCAGGATGGCCTTTGAAACCTTCCTTCGAGTGCAGAGCAGTCTGGGAAACCTCTACCAATTCTCTTCCCTTTTTGCTTCATTCTCAACGAGTTTGTGGTCCAAGGCTTTGCCAATCATTTTTGCCTCACTTCCTATTTTCTTTCACATGCATGTTCTCTCATAAAATCTTTGCCCATTTACTGTCAGAAGTTTGTCTGCCTCTTGGAAGATCTGGACTAACACTATAATACTGTCTTTTCTTAGGTCTAGTTGAAAGGTTAAGTGAGGAATGAGTAAGTGGGAAGGATCAAGCAGCCCCACAGTAGGGAGAGGACATGTGCAGGGCGGGGAGCAGGTGGGGTCCAGTGTCTTGGGCAAGTGGAGCACATCTTCACTGTCACGTCCCAATGTCAAATCTTCTTATTTAGAGTCATTTTGTGCACCGCCTAGAGGAGTTTAATATGTTCTTTTAATAATTGTTTCTTTTTTTCTCACTCTTTCTACAGAGAAAGCGGTGACAAATTTACAGTTGCTCATTATGGTAACTGCTGGCTTTTTGCTGAAGCTACACCTTCCTATGGCTTTTATTGTGATCCCATTTTGCAGTGGCTTCTACAGACAATTAGAGTTTCAAGATCAGGTTCTTCCCTTCTTAAAGGGCCAGGTGAATTCTATAGAATATAGGATGAAATAGAGGATTTTCCAAGTTCTTTCCAACTTTGAGATTTACTGATTTTTATTCTTTATGTTCACTTCTTCCACAACAGTTTGAAAAACTAGTATTTTAATTGCATGTTTTACAGTGTAAAACCTAATACAATTTGAAATCCTAAATATTTTGCTTGATAGAATGGTAAATAGCATTATATTTATTAAAATGCCCTTGTTTATCTGGTTGGGTAATGAGTTAAGACATACACACTTTTTCTTCCTTTTTTTTTTTTTTTTGAGGAAGATTGGCACTGAGCTACCAACCATGCCCAACTTCCTCTACTTTATCTGTGGGACGCCTGCTACAGCATGGCTTTCCAAGCAGTATGTAGGTCCACACTGGGGATCTGAACCAGCAAACTCTGGACTGCTGAAGTGGAATGGAGGAACTTGGGCCCCATGCCACTGGGCAGGCCCCAAGACATACACACATTTTTGCTACCTATAACCAAAGAGAGATTTTTCCAAAGTGATGAAATATTACATTACATAGGTGTTCAAAAAGTACTGATGACTTGGATTCTCTCTGTTCTAAAGATTCAGAACCTGCAGGAGAGGTTTCTGAGAAACTGAAAATCCAATCAGCACCAGAGGTTATATTATGATCAAGAATCTTAGGTAATACTGGCTTAGCCTCTAAGACCTAGATATGTCTATACTTGAATGAATGTGAACCTATAGAAAGATAAGCTAAGATTTATGAGATTTGGGGAAAAATTATATGTTTTTCATTCTTGGTCATAAATCAGTTGAGAGGTAGCTGGGTGGTCCTGGGATGACAGGCAACAATGCCTTCATTGACTTAGGACTTCTTTTATTATGTCCAAGTCAGATGTCTCTCCATTCGTCTCCAGCTTCCAGCCACAAGAAGCAGGATTTAGCTGTGTGTTCAAAGGCTTATTTAAACTTTGAATGTAATGGCAGAAATGTAGATTGAGTGTAGGATGACAACTAGAAATGTGTGACATATACTATGCCAGGCACACTGTTCTTTGCAATAAATGCTTTTATATGTAAAAAACAGTCAATGTTGGGCTATTAAATCATTTAGCATCTCTAATATGCCTCTGAAGGATAGTATCCATTATAATGCTAATTTGCAGAACATTATAAACACACTTTGGTCACTTGCATCACCTTTCTTTCTGTAGATGACCTTTTAAAAAATTCTTCAGTGAACGCTCCTATACTCATTTGTGTATTCTTTTCTCTTATTTCAACTTAATTAAAGGCCTACTATATGTTATGCCGTATGTCCAACACTAGAAGCAAGATGGTAAGCAAAAGCAGAGAGAGTCACTGTTCCCTAGGAATTTAAATGTACTGATTAAAGTTATTATGCACCAACGAATGGAAATGCTCCTTCACTGCATGACTGTTCTGCACAAAAGCTCTGAAACAGCTTCCCACATGTCATCTGACTTCGCTCTCCTGAGCATCTCGTTAGGTAGACAGCGGCTCTACATTTCAGACAGAATGAAAATAAGACACAGGAAACAACAATATTCTAAACCTGACATTTTGGTAATGAAAGGGAGTTTGGATAGAAAACTTACCATTTTATTCTTTTGAAAAACCAGTTTGTTGGGATGTTTATATACCCAAACTAACCAGTTTTAGGTATCATATAATAATTTAAAAAAAATATATATGTATACATATAGAGAGAGAGAATAGCAACTACCACCGCAGTTTGAATTTAGAGTGTTTACATTACCCAAAAAATGTCCTTCTTGCCACTGGAGCTTATTCCATCTTCCCACCCCCAACCCGAGGCCACCACTCATCTACCTTCCATTCCTCTTGTTCTGACTTCTCTGGACATTTTATGTAAAGAGAATGAAACAATGTTTTTTTGTATCTGCTTCTTTCACAACACATTTTTGTGGTTCATTCACACTGGAGCATAAATCAATGGTTTGTTACTTTTTAATGTTTAATAGTATTCTGTGTTGTATTGAATGGCCACATTTGTTTATTTATTCACTAGCTTATGTACATTGGGATTGTTACCACTGTTTGGCTATTAAGAAAAATGATACTATGAATATTATCATACAGGTCTTTTGATGGACCTATGTTTTCATTTTTCTTGGGTAAACGTCTAGAAGTAGAATGGGTGGTTCATATGGTAGGTCTATGTTGAATTTTTTAAGAATCTATGACTCCAATTTCCAAAGTAAGTGTACCTTCTCACATTCCACCAGTGATGTGTGAGGATTCCGTTTCCTCCACATCCTCACCGACAATCGTTCTTACATACCTTTTTAATAGTCCCTCTAGTTGATGGCTTTATTATTTTTATAATCGTAAAAATACACAATGGTCAAGGAGAGCCTCTTTGACAAATGGTGTTGGAAAAACTGGGTGTCTACATGCAACAGGATATAACTCGACCACAATACTGGATATTTAGTCTTACTGTGTAGCTACAATAACGAAAACAGTGTGGGATTAGTGAGGAGTTAGATATAGATCCGTGGGACTGAATAGAGAGCCCAGTAATATTGGTGCAAAACAAGTGAAGCTGGAAGTATTCTCTTTTCAACCACTAGTTCTGGAACACTTGAACAGGAATAGTCAAATACTGAAGACTGAACTGAAATTCACCCCTTATTAAAAGATTAAAATAAGGGGCCGTCCCGGTGGCTCAGCAGTTAAGTGCGCATCTTCTGCTTCTAAGTGGCCCAGCATTTGCCGGTTCAGATCCCAGGTGTGGACCTACACACCGTTTGGCATTCATGCTGTGGTAGGCATCCCACATATAAAGTAGAGGAAGATGGGCACGGATGTTAGCTCAGGGCCAGGCTTACTCGTCAAAAAGAGGAGGACTGGCAGTAGTTAGCTTAGGGCTAATCTTCCTCAGAAAAGAAAGAAAGAAAGAAAAAAAAGTAAAAATAAAAAAAGATTAAAATAAAATGAAGCCTAGATTTAAAGGTAAAAAGTAAAAATATAAATATTATAGAAGACAACATAGAAGAAACTCTTTGTGGCCTAGAGTTCTTAGATAATCTTACCAACAGAGAACAAAAATACTGAAATCAAGGGTCTGGCCCCATGGTGTACTGGTTCAGCTTGCACTCTCTGCTTTGCTGGCCCTGGGTTCACGGGATGGATCCCCTCACAGACCTATGCACTGCTTATCAAGCCATGCTGTGGCAGGCGTCGCACATATACAGTAGAGCAAGTTGGGCACGGCTGTTAGCTCCGGACTAATCTTCCTCAAAAACAGCACAAATAAACGGAAATCAAGGGAACTTAAGGTTGGAAAGAATTTGGAATATGTTGTATCCCAACTTTATTCCTTTAAAGGAATTATGTATGTTTGTATATTCTTATATGAAGATATGTCATTGACAGTTAAGTGAAAAAAGCTAGCCATGAGAACTAACTTTGATTTTATTGTTCTATCTCTATCTCTATCTGTCTATCTATCTATCTATGCATCTATCATCTTCTTCTATCACTTTTAAGGCCAGCATCTGTAAATCTCTCTCAGCGCTACCTTCTTGTGCGTTTGCATCAAATCTCCTCTTGTCTCTATTTTATAAGAACACGTGAGATGACATATGCAGCTCATCTAGACAATTTATATATAAAGAGATAGTTGTATAAATGTGTATATCGATATACTCTCTCTCTATATATATATGATGCTAATATAAAATTGCATATAAAATATGTGTTATTACATATATTGTTAAAACATATGCATCTCTAGAAACATATATAGTGATATACACATGTGTAAACATATGCACACACAAGCAGGGACACATATATATACATGTGCATATATCTTTAAATATATATCCATGTGTACACTTGTGTGTGATTTTAGTATAGTTGTATATTAAATATCTGTACATTTATGCATATATATTTATACTATTACACACTTCAGAAAAATGGATGTGCAGCAAATAATCCATACTTCTAACAATCTCTTTAGTTGTTAATTTTGAAAACTTGTGGCCTGTTGTTCATCACAGGCAGTGTCTCCTGCTCTTAATCTCTGCTGATGAACACGTACAAGAGAAAAAGTCCAGTGCGTGGGACATAAGGAAGTCACAATAAATTCAAGTCTAAACTGCAGTTGATATTTCCCTCTGATGTCATGCCAGAAAGATTTGCCTGCACAATTGTCTCTGACGGTGTCCGTGTAACGATTTCAAAGAGCCCAGGTAAGTATAACAGTCACTTTTTGCATTTATCAGAATTGCTATCATTCCATTGAATCTGCATGAAACAGCGCTTGACTCAGAGGTTCTTGTCTAAATCTTGGCTTTCTTCACTGATAAAAAAGGCAAGTTAGATTAGGCTCACAAATGTGTGTGTAAGAGACAATTTAAATGCAGACTGTTTATATTTATCCCTAATATTTATGATAAATCTATGCGACAGAAGTTGTTGTTATCACGTTTAAAAGTAGGAAATTGTGGATTCCACAGCCTGAATACGGTGTCCAGGCTGCCTGGTGGTGGATGGGATTTGAACTCAGGACTTTCATCTGCCAACGCTCTTTGCGCTGAGTCAGGCTGTGGAGCAGATCAGCTAAACAGCTCTGATGAAATCTCCTCCCACTCAAACCCTACAGGGTCTCCTGCTTCACTTTGAGGTAAAGGTCCAGTTATTCAACCTACAGTTTAGGGCCCTGTCCCAGGTGGTCTCAATCTCACACCTGAGCCTTCTTTCTCTCCTCTTCTTAGTATTCGCAAGCTGTCCTCCAGCCCGGGTTCCCAAAGCCGGCAGCCACAACGCTCATCTGGGAGCTTTGTGAACATTCCGGGTTGTGAAATTGTGCCATAGTTTTACAAGGTGTTCTCATGGGGGAAACTTGTTGAAAGGGACATGAGAACTCTGTGCATTAGTACTTACAGCTTGATGAGAATCTCCAATTATCTCAGAACAAAACATTTAATGAAAATCAAATTTCCAATTGAGCCTAATGTGCTTCTATTGTTGTCAAGTGCTAGGGGTCTTGGTATGTGTCTAGTCACCGTTCCCAAAACTCATTCTTCTCTTTCCTGTTTTGATTCTCCTTTCCTTCCTATTCGGTATCTTAGGAAGATATCATGTCTCATCTCTAAGGGTTTCGGAGCACTGATTTTCCCTCCTCCCTTCCCCATACTTCTGGGTACATCAGATCAAACTGACCCAAATCTCCTCCAGAGGGAATATCTACAGTGAATTCCTGTGAGGCCTCTCTCATGAGTTCCTTTACAGCCTCCAGGCAGAACAGAGAATGCCCCAGTGCCTTATCTGCCAGGAGCCATCTGTCTCACCCCCAGAGAGGTCTTCACCAACAGATCAATAAAGGAAACGCGTCAGCTGGGTGGCAGTGGTTGGGAAGAAGAGGTGAACAAGCTCAGCACGGTCTGTGGAGGTGTCGGCCTCGCTCCCCACGGCCTTCTCTGTTTCAGGTAGGTCCGGCGGGGACACTGTGGAGGGAGCCCTGGTGAAGACCATTGCTGTGAGGACAGCTGCAACTGAGTCCTTCCTGAAGGAACAGTTTGTATTTTCTGAGGTAAAACTGAGATTCCGAAGTGCATGTTTTCTTAAATGTAGCCAGGCTCCCTGTGGGCTGAGCCAAAGGCTGGGAGAGCAAATGGCTCCTTCTCCGATGTGCACAGAGGACTTGTCCTAGTGTTTCTCTCGAGTCTCTATGAGGCCTTCTGTTCACAGGCATGTCTTGTTGATTCTGACAGTCGGAGGAAGAAAAGAGGGGATAGTCCCTTCTAATTAGGAATCTTGGGGAGTAGAGTGCTTCCCTCACCCATCAGAAACTTTCATTGGGAAACGGGCTGTTTGTCCCTGTGCCACGTGTTAAGCACAGTCCTATGGGTTTCTTCTACAGACTTGACAAAATGTCTTTCTTCTCATCATGGATGAAAGCTATTTTCATCATTGTCTTACTATTTCCTCTACATTCTGGTGAGTAAATTTTTCAGCCTTGGATGAAGCATTTCTCATAGAAAATTCAGGAAACAACTGGTATGGTCTAGGAATGGAGGAGCTTATTTTATTGGGTTTGTACTACATAAACTGGCAAAAGGAAACAGAGGAGGTTTACGAATATCCTTTTAATAATTGCACCAGTAGTTTTCTTTCTCTTCTTTCCCACTTTAGAGATGTGGAGACAGAGAGGTGGCTTAGAATGAGCAGTGGAACCTAGCTTTTCCTCCACCTACAATGAAAGACATTTGCCTGTCTTTAGAGGTGAAGAGTTTTTGGAGGTCAGATTCCATGACTGCTGAGAGCAAAGTGTGGGGAGCAATGATGTCTTCTGGATCTGGGGTTCTTTGACAATCTGCTTTGTTGTATGACAGCTCTGAGTAGAGTCCAGGCTTCATGTGAGCAGAGAACTCATCCCTCCCTCTGCTGACACCTTACCTTCTTTAAAGCATAAGGTGGCCCGTGAATTTCAGAGTAAAGCAGCTGTAAGGTATTGGATAGATCCCTGATCTCAGATCTGAGCACTAATTAATTAAGTAGTAATTAATTTCCTCATATTTTGTGACTTTATGCAAGGTGTAATGAATGGCATTAAGCAAGGCATTGTCGTCTCTGACGTGGATGTCTCATCTATAACAAAGACAGAAAAAAAGCAGGGTTTGGTGATTACTAAACAATACACAAAATTGTTTTTCACAGAATGAGGTTAATTGGGAAGTATGTTTCTAGATTTCGAGTTATTTTGTGAACTTATTGTTTTGCTACCATCCCAAAGGCTCGCTCATTTCTTGCAGGGTCTGGAGTAAGTAATTTGCCTGGTATTTTTCTGCTAAAAGATGGGGGAACTTCGCACCAGATACTCTGATAGTTTCTCCTCTTCTTCTTAGTTTTAATTTGTCCTTTGTGTTTTGGTTGCAGAAACTTCTTTTTCAAGACCAAACACAGTTCAAAGAATAGTAAGTTACTATCCGTTACTTTGGGAATTGAAAACGTAAAACTAGTAATTTTTTTTATGTTGTAACTTTTCATAGCAAATTTCATCAAACAAAATGTACAAGAGAATGATCCTTCACAAAATAAAAACAAGAAAAAAACTTGTGTTACTATTATACTGAGTCCAAGAAATAGAATCTTGAAACCCTTATAAGATCATTTGGGGTCTAGCCTTGTGGGAAGTGGTTAAGTTTAAGCACTCTGCTTCTGTGGTCTGGGGTTCTCCAGTTCAGATCCTGGGCAAGGACCTACACACTGCTTGTCAAGCTATGCTGTGGCAGGCATCCCACATATAAAGTAGAGGATGGGCATGGATGGTAGCTCAGGGCCAATCTTCCTCAGCCAAAAGAGGAAGATTGGCTGCATAAGTTAGCTCAGGGCTAATATTCCTTATTCTCACAAAAAAGAATATTTTGGCATTGTAGAGAAGGTAAAAACATCCCGTTATGCAAAAGTTTCAATACCATGTGTAAGTCTTGTTATATACAAGCATTGGATATTGGTTAAGGGGTGTTTAAAGTAGGATTGTTTATCCTGGAAAAAGAAGATTTAAAATAATTTTCCACTTACAAGTAGGTAAACAAAAATTTTCATTCATTGATGGAGTGGAATGTCACATAGAGGTGAAATAAATGAACTATAGTTCTAAGCACCTGAATAGATAAATGTTACAAACATGTTTAAAAGTGAGTCATGTAAGAATACACACAGTATTGTTCATTTATGTAAATTCCCAGCACTACCATCGCTAAACACACAACATGTATTCTATTTGATTATATACCCGTGCACAAACACTCATATATATGAATAAATACACATATGCAGTGATGATCTGAAATCAGAGCATCTATTAGTGAAACTCTTGAGAAACACAAGGGAATTATAGGAAACTTACTTTTATGTTTTCTTGTGGTATGAAATAATGTGAGAAATCTGACCCAGGTGTAGAGGACATGGGGGCGGAGCCACTAAATTTTCAAAACACATTCTACCCTTTTTGGTTTTCTGAAAACGGTATTGTGTTTGTAAAAATATATGAATCATATTTTATGTCCAAGTGTATTGTGGACACCTTGATGTTTCTTTTTAAACCTCAATATACAATGTATTTATACCTTTTTGATGCAGGACATTTTGTATTAAGAACAAAGAATATTTTATTCACACAGTTTATTATCTGGTAAATTTTGTGTTGTCTCCTTATGTTTAGGGACCGGACTGTGACGTGTTTAAAGATCGATTAAATTTATGCACCAGAGAAAGGAATCCAATCTGTGCAACCAATTGCCGAACTTATTCCAATCCATGCGTTTTCTGCAGTGCAAAGATGTAAGAACGCAAAATTAAATATTGGCTCCTGAAAAATAATGAAAATACCATCACAAAATGATAGGAACATCCATATTTCTGATAATGTAGGCTTGCTATCTATGGAAAATTACTATCTCTGTAAAAGCCACAGAAACACACTTGTGCCTATCCCTTAAGTTCTTGTTTCTTTTTTTCTTTTAATTTTTTTTTAAAGATTGGCACCTAGGCTAACAACTGTTGCCAATCTTCCTTTTTTTTTTTTTGAGGATTGGCACCTGGGCTAACAACTGTTGCCAATCTTTTTTTTTTTTGCCTGCTGTATTTCCCAACACCCGCCCCCCCTCCCCGGTACATAGTTGTATATCTTAGTTGCAGATCCTTCTAGCTGTGGGACATGGGAGGCTGCCCCAACGTGGCCTGATGAGCGGCGCCATGTCCGTGCCCGGATTCCGAACCCTGGGCCGCCGCAGCAGAACGCGAAAAACTTAACCATTCGGCCACGGAGCCGGCCCCAAGTTCTTGTTTCTAAAAGCAGTTTTGTATTTGATGTCTCATTATAAATCTATGGGATATTCCACAAATGTATAAACCAATTAACTTATTTAATTATTATGACTTACGAATGGAAGTCTAATGACCAATAAAAGGTAATTCAGACGTTGAGGTACTAAAAGATAACCTCCGTGATGTAGCTGCAAGCTACAGGGAGCATGACTGAACGAAAAATCTTACTGACTACAGAACTCTGAAATCCATGACAATGGGCCCATTCATGCTGGAAAGGGACCCCTCTGCTGGTCCACTTGGGCTCCTGAACTCCATGACAGACTCTTAACCTTCCTCAGAGAGTAGGGCATTCTAGGACACTTCCACCTGACCTCCCTTCCTGTATCCTTCACTCTAAAGGAGTCTGCAGTCTACAGTTTTGGCCAACCTTTCTGCCTGCCCATTTTCTCTCACAGGTGTTTCCTCTCATTTAATCCTCTACTTGGCTTCTACTTCTAGGGGACCTCTAAGACAAGCTCTAATCCTTTCCTCTCTCAGATCTGGAAAGGTTCCAAGACTGAGTCAGGACTGAGCACGTAGGGAGAGTCAAAGAGCTCAGGTCAGGGGAGGATGTGCACAGACCTGGGGAGCAGGCAGGACCCAGCTGCTTGTGGCCATGGAGCACAGCCTCTCTTCTTCTATGTTCAAAGCCTCCTCATTGAGAAGCCCTTAGTGCAATATGCAGGTGATTTTAAATGTCCTTTTAATAATTTCCTTTTCCTTTTCTGTCTTTTTCTTCCTTACAGTGAATCTGGTGGAAAATTTGGTTTTCGTCGTTATGGTATATGCTGACTTTACCCGAGCTACACATTCCTATGCCTTTTATTGCAGTCCCATTTTGCGGTAGTTTCTACAAGCAAGTAGAGTCTTCTCAGCAGAGCTTTAAATTCCTAGATGACCTCGTAAAGCCATTTGTGGTATAAAGATTGGAATATAAGATGTTGAATAATTTTTCCAAATCTAAGAATCTGTCACTGAAAGATTTTTATCCTCTATGTTGAATTATGAATGGCATTTGAAAAACTATCTTAAATATTATTATATAATATAAAGCCTAATGTAGTTTACAATGGTAAATATTTCAATCAATAGAAGTTAAATAATAGTATCTTTCTTAAAATACCATTTCTTTCTTTGGTTGGTTAGTGGGTTAGGCACACTAATACTTTTGATAACTATATTAAGGAAATATTTTCAAAAGTGAACACATAATATATTACTTCGATGTTTATTAACAGTACAGACACTTGGGCTCTTCTTTATCCTAAAGAATCAAAACCTCTAGGAGAGAGATCTGGGAGCTTGACTTCTAACAAGTACTCTAGGTCGATCTATGATCCCAAATGTTAGCAATATGGACTTCAATTCTAAAATATAGGACATGCATATAATTGAATGAATTGCAGAACATGTTCAAAGTTATTGTAAGGCATCTGATGTTTGGAAGAACAAGTTATATTACTTTCTTTATCTCTCACAAATCAGTCCAAAGACAGGTTGGTAACCCTGGGGTGCCAGAAAACTCTGCCTTCTTCAATCTAGGATTTTCATTAGTGGTCCGAGTCTCAAGCTTTTCCATTTCTCTCCACCTCTCAGGCAAGGAGAAGCCAGCTGTTTTTGGGTGGCCAAATACTCCTTTAAAGCTTGATTTTAATGGCAGTAATGTAGATTGACTACTGGAAGAGAAGTATCAATCTGCTCCATATATGATATCAGGCCTGCTCTTCTTTTCACTAAACATCTTCTACAGTAAAAGGGTGATTCTTGTGGGAGGTGCTCATTCATTTGCATTCTTTAGTATTAATTCTTAATGAAAACATTTAGAAGAATGTACATTTTTAGAGCCACATGATGAAAATGCATTCACTTTCATGCCCGTTTTCATTACAGAGAACCCATATAGAACACCTTATTCAGTGAATGCTGACAAATTAATACATATGTGCTTTTTACTTTTTTGAAGTTGATTTTAATTTTTTTCTTTTTACTGATATGTGTCATAAAATGAACAAAAAACCCTACTATGCATTGAGCCCTGTATTCTGATAGGGAAAAGTTGGTCAGCAAAAGGAAATATTGTAACTGTCCTCTAGGGACGATCAGTGTATGGTGTAAGTTCGTATCCATTCGTGAATGGGGATCCACCTCACTGCACGACTATTTCCACACAAGCTTTGTGAGTCAGCCTCCCACATCCCAAGTGTTATGGAACTTCGTTCTTAGAAGAATCTTGCTGGATAAACATCTGCTCCAAATTTCAGCTATAATGAAAGTGAGACACAGGAAAGTTAACAATATTTAAAATCTGACACTTGATAAGAAAATATGTGTTTATATTTGAGATAAAATTAATAAAACAAAATTTGTCAGTTTAAAGCAGACAATTCTGTATTTTTTAGCAAATATTTCTTCACAATGTTGTACAACCATCACCACTATCTAATTTCAGAACATTTCCATCCTCTCACATTTGAAAAACAAAAATCAAACAAAAGACCACTACTTCCCAATTCCCCATCAACCCCTGGCCACCACTAAACTACTTCTTTCCTCTGTCGATTTGCCTATTGTGGGCATTTCATAGAAATGGAATCATAGGATATGTGTATGTCTTTCACATGAAATGAATTATATGTAGATATAGATAAGTATAGATCTATATCTATGGTTTTTGGTCTTTTGTGAACAACTTCTTTCATGTAGCTCAAGGTTTTCAAGGTTCATCCCTGTTGTAGCACGTACGAGTACTTCTTTCCTTTATATGACTGAGTAATATTCCAATGTATGGATATACCACCTTTGTTTATCTGTTTATCAGCTGATAGATATTTGGATTGCATCTACTTATTGGCTATTATGAATAATGCAGCTGTGAACATTCTTGTACCAGTTTTTCTGTGACCATATATTTCCATTTCTCATGGATAAATGTCCAGCAGTGGAAATTTGTATGGTAACTCTACCTTTAACTTTTTTTGAGGAGATGCCAAAATGCTTTCCACAATGAGTGTACCATCTTAAATTTCCACCAGGACTGTATGAGGGTTCCAGTTTCTCCATATTTTCACCCAAATTCAGAAGTTGTCATATTAAAAGATTATATTCACCCTAGAGGGTGTGAACTAGTACTCCACTGTCGTTTGCTTTACATTCCCCTTATGATGAACAATGTTTCACACATTTTCATGTGCTTCTTGGCCATTTCTATATCTTCTCTGGGGAAACGACTATTTAAATCCTTTGCCCATTTTTAAACTATCTTCTTTATTTGTTGCTTTGAGTTGTCAGTGTTCTTTTTGTAATCTGGATATCTGGCACTTATTAGACTTCTCAATTGCAAATGTTTTCTCTTATTTTTAGATTGTCTGTGTTACTTTCTTGATACTGTGCCTTGATGCAAAACAAGTTTTAAATATGATGAATTCCAACTTAGCTATCTTTTTCTTTGTTGCTTGTACTTTTGGTGTTATATATAAGAAATTGCTGCCTAATCCACACTCATGAAGATTTACACCTAGGTTTCATTCTAAGAATTTGATAGCAATAGTATTTGCATTTAAATCTTTGCTACAGTTTGAGTTAATTTTTGTATCTGGTGAGAATTATGGGTACAACATTATACTTTTGCATTCGGCTAAACCTTTGTCACAGTGTCATTTAATTTTCTTGGAGCTCTTGTCCAAAGCAAGGGATTAATCAAGACAGTGTAGTGTTAGCGAAAAAATAGACAAGTAGATGAATGAAACAGAACAGAGAGCCCAAAAATTGACCTCCATCAATATAGTTGACTGTTCCGAAGCAGCAAAGGCTATACAATGGGGCAAAGAGAGTTTTCTCAAGAAACAGCGCAGAAACAACTGAACTTCTACATGCAAAAAAGTTAATTGAGACACAGACCTTATACCCCTCACAAAAATTAACTCAAAATGGATCATAGGCTTAAATGTAAAATGCAAAACTATAGAGTACACAGGAGATAACACAGGAGAAAACCTAGATGACCGTGGGTATGGTGATGGCATTTTAGAGACAATACCAAAGCCTTGATCCATGAAAGAAATGATTGGTAAAACAGATTCATTAAAGTTAAAACCTTCTGTTCTGTGAAAGACCATATCAAGAGAACGAGAAGACAAGCCCCAGACTGGGAGAAACATTTGCAAAAGACACATCTGCTGAAGGATCCTTATCCAAGATATACAAAAACCTTTGAAAACTCAACAATAGTCAAAGAAATTACCTGATAAAAAATAGGCCAAATACCTTAACAGACACCTCTCCAAAGAAGATATACAGATGGCAAGAAACATGAAAAGATCCTCTATATCATGTGTCATCAGGGAAATTCAAATTAAGAAAATGGTTAAGTCCCATACTGCACTTCGGTGGCCCAGGGTTCACAGGATTGATCCAGGGCAAGGACCTACACATCGCTCATCAAGCCACACTGTGGCAGCATCTCATATACAAAAAATAGAGAAAGATTACCACAGATGTTAGCTCAGGGCCAATCATCCTCACCCTCCCTTCCAAAAAATTGAGATACCACTAATGAGATACCACTACAGATCTGTTAGAATTGCTGAAATCTGGAAGACTAACCACACCAAATGCTGGAGAAGATGTGGAGCAATAGTAACTCTCATACATTGCTGATGGGAATGCAAAATGGCACAGCTGCTTTTGAGGACAGTTTGGTAGTTGCTTACAAAATTAAACATACCATTATCATATGATCCAGCAATTGTGCTCCCTGGTATTTATCCAAAGGAGTTGAAAATTTATGTCTATACGAAAACTTTTATTAAGGCAGTAGCTTTATGGAAAATTGCCTAAACTTGGAAGCATCAAGGTGTCCTTCAGCAGGTGAATGGATAAACTGTGGTACATCCAGAAAATGGAAAATTCTTCCATAAAAACAAATGAGTTATCAAGCCATAAAAAGACAAGGAGGAAACTTCAATGCCTACTGCTATGTGAAGAAGCCTATCTGAAAGGTGATAAACGGTATGATTCCAGTATACATCATTCTGGAAAAGGCAAAATTATGGAGACAAATGAGAACATCAGTGGTTGCCGGAGGTTGAGTGGAGGCCAGGGGAGAGAAATGAATAGGCAGATCACAGGGATTTGTGGGCACTGAAAATACTCTGTACAATATTATAATCATGGATATATTTTATTAAACTTCTGTCCACAACCACAGAATCTACAACATCAAAAGTGAACTGTAGGGTAAACTATGGACTTCAGATGATTATGATGTGTCAACGTAGGTTCATCCTTGGTAAAAAAAATGTAGAGTTCTGCTGAGTGACGTTATTAATGGGGGAACCTATGCATGAGTGGAGCAGGAAATAGATAGGAAATCCCTGTATATCCTCAATCTTGTGGTAACCTGAAACAACTCTAAAAAATTTGTCTTAAAATGTCAATTGAACATATATGTATGAATTTATTTTGAGTTACTATTCCATTCTATTGTTCTATTGTTCGACAAATCAGCGGAAACATAGGATAGTAACCCTGTGATGTCAGGCAACTCTGCCTTCATCAATCTAGGATTTTCATTAGTGGTCCAAGTCCTATGCTTCTCTGTTTCTCTCCATCTCTCAGCCAACAAAAAGCTGGCTTTATTTGGGTGGCCAAATGCTCATTTAAAGCTGGATTTTAGTGGTAGCAATGTAGATTGATTACTGGAAGAGAAGTATCAATGTGCTACATGTACATAAACTACCCTAAAAAATTTGTCTTAAAATGTCATTCAACATGTATGTATGAATGTATTTTGAATTTCTATTCCATTCTATTGTTCCACATGTGTATACTTATGTCAGTACCACATCGTTTTTTAAAATCACTATAGATCGGTAGTCTGTGTTAAAATCTGAACATGTGAATCCCCCAACTTTGCTCTTCTCTTTCAATACTGTGTTGGCTATCCTGGGTCTTTTGCCTCTCCATATAAACTTTAGAATAACAATATTCACAAAGTAACTTGCTGGAATTCAGATTGGAATTGCACTGTATCTATAAGTCAAGCTGAGAAGAATTGACTCGACAATATTGAGTCTTCTGTTCATGAACATGGAATATCTCTCCATTTATTCAGTTCTTTGATTTCCTTCATCAGAGTTCTGTAGTTTTCCTCATACAAGTTGTGTACATGTTTTTTTGACTTTTAGTTAAGTGTTTCACTTTTGTGGGTGCTAATGTAAATGGTATTGTGTTTTAATTTCAAAATTCACTTGTTCATTGATACTTCATAGGAAAGCAATAGACTTTTGTAAATTAACTCTGTATTCTACAACTTTTCTATAATAACTTTTTAGTTCCAGGCATTACTTTTGTCCATTCTTTTGGATTTTCTTTATAGACAATCATGTCATCTGCAGACAAAGACAGTTTTATTCCCTCTTCCCAATGTGTATATGATTTATTTCCTTTTCTTGTTTTATTGTACTAGCTAGAATTTGCAGTGTGATGTCAAAAACGATTGGTGAGAGGTTCTCCCTTGCCTGATGACCTTTGACCTGATGAATGGGAAAGCTCAGATTTTCTCAACATTAAGTATGATGATAATTGTAGGGCTTTGATAGGCATTCTTCATCAACTTGAGGAAGGTCCTAACTGTTTCTTGTTTACTGAGAGTCCTTACCGTGAATGAGTGTTGACTTTTGTCAAATGGTTTTTACTTCAACTATCAATATGACTATGTTATGGATTAATTGAGTGTTGAACCAGCCTTGCATACCTTGGATAAATATCACTTCCTCATGGAGTATAATTCTTTTTAAAAGTTGTTGGATGGGTTCACTAAGTTTATGTTGCACTTTTTTGCATGTATGTTCATGTGAAATATTAGTCTGTAATTTTCTTTTCTTGTGATACCTTTTACTGCTTCTAGTGTTAAGATAATGCTGATCTCATAAAATGAGTGAGAAAATATTCTCTCTGCTCCTATCCTCTGAATATGTAGAGAACTGGTATAATTTCTTTTTTCTTTTGTAGAATTCATATTCTACGAAAATACCTGTTGCTATCTGTTTTGGAAGGTTGTTCATTGTGGATCCAATTGCATTAATTGATGTAGCTTATTCAGAACTTCTATTTCTTTTTGTGTGAATATTGGCGTACTTGGCCTTTCAGGGATTGATCCATCTCATCTTGGTTACCAAATTTATGGGCCTTGACTTGCTTATTTAATTTTTTTTCTTGTCCTTTTAATGCCCTTGGGATCCATAGTGATGTCTCCTCTTTCATTTCTCGTATTAGTAATTTGTGTCCTCTCACTTCTTTCTTAGTTAGTCTGGCTAGAGGCTTATCAATTTTATCTGCTTTTCAAAGAACCAGCTTTTTATTTCATTGATTTTCTCCTTTGATTTCTGGGTCAGTTTCATTGATTTCTACTAATTCTAATTATTTCTTTGCTTCTGCTCACTTGGATGGAAATTCCTCTTCTTTTCCTAGTTTCTCACAGTGGAAACTGGGATGATTGAATTACATCCTTCTTCTTTTCCAATATGTGCATTCAATGCTAAAAACTTCCTACTAAGCACTATTTTTGCTGCATCCACAAATTTTAATAAGTTTCATGTTCATTTTTATATAGTTCAAAATATTTTATAATTTCTCTTGATACTTCATCTTTGACCTATGTCTTATTTAGAAGTGTCTCACTTAATCTTCCTGTAATTTAGTATTTTCCAGTTAACTTTCTGTTATTGATTTCTAGTTTAATTCTAATGTGGGCTGAGAACAGACTTTGTATGATTTTTATTCTTTTAAATTTGTGAGGGTGTGTTTTATGGCCCAGTCTATGTTGCATGTTGGTGAATGTTCCACGTGAGCTTAGGAAGAATATGTATTCTGCTGTGGTTGGATGAAGTAGTCTGAAGATGTCCATTATACCCAGTTGGTTGATGGTGATGTTGAGTTTGACTATGTCCTTACTGATTTTATGCCTGTTGGAAACGTCTGTTTCTTCTGAGGGGTGTTGAAGTCTCCAACTATGATAGTGGAATCATCCGTTTCTCATTGCAATTCTATTCGTTTATCATTCTATTAGTATATCAGTATACTTTTTTAATTAGTATATCAGTTATACTTTTTTAATGTTTTTTATTGGTTGCCTTAGAGTTTGCAATATATATTTATGATGACTCCATTCAATTTTCAAATAACAGTATAGTAATTCATGCATAGTGTTATTACTTTATAATAGCAAAAGAATCCTTATTCCTTCTTCTGGCCCCTTGT